GAGAGAAAAAGAAAGAAAGAAAGAAAGGAAGGAAGGAAGGAAGGAAGGAAGGAAGGAAGGAAGGAAGGAAGGAAGGAAGGAAGGAAGGAAGGAAAGAAAGAAAGAAAGAAAGAAAGAAAGAAAGAAAGAAAGAAAGAAAGAAAGAAAGAGAGAGAGAAAGAGAGAGAGAAAGGAAAGACAGAAAGAAAGAGAAAGCAAGAGAAAAGCCAACTCAGCTGGGCGCAGGCAGGTAGGAAAATGGAACAGCCCGTAGTAGAAATGGTAGAGTAGCCCTCCTAGGAATGAAAATAACCATGGCATTGACAAGTGCTACCCTTGTGTTGATGGGGTGCCAAGTAGTTCTAAGCATTTTGCACCCATGACTTCATTTTTTAGGCACTATTATCACCCCATTTTACAGATGAGAAAACAGAAGCATGAAGAGGTAGAGACCCAGGAAGCTGAGGCCGGTTAAGGGAGGTCGTGGAAGCCAGACACTGAAAGATATGAGGCTTCGTCTGGGGGAAGGAGAGCCCTGAGGGCTGGCCTCCCTAAATTCCTCCTCCTTCTCAGCTCTCAGGGTTGTGGCACCCCACTGCCCCTCTTCTCCTGCTCCCCGTGCGGCTGTGGTTGATGCTCTCAGAACACGTCTAATCCATGTGATACTGAGATTTCAACATGTCCCAGCAACAATGAGGAGACTCTCCAGCGAATCCCTCCTCTTGCTTGAGTCAAAATGCCCTGAGATCAGTGGTGGTTATTTCAGGTCATTTCACTTGTAGCTTTTTTTTTTTGTTTTGGTTGTTCCACTTTTTATTGTTTCCAGGTCTAGAGGTGGCCGATATAAGAAAGGGTGGTGGTGAGATAATAGGGATTTTGGTTGGGGCAGAGCAGACCTCATGGACCCTGCACCTTCAAGATATTGTGTGTCCTTGGTCCTGCCGTCACTGCTAGTGTTTGGGCAAAAAAATTTCAAACAAAGGAAAAGCTTTTAAGATAGTGATCATTAGGTATCTCCCAATTCAAATCTTCAAAAACAGAGTTGAGAAGATGAAGAATCAGCCAAGAAACTTTTGAAGATGATTTGATAACGTTTTATCTACCCAGCTGATCCATCAGAGGGAGTATTTTGTTGTGGTCGTGACTGTTCTCTTTTGTCTGCTTGCTTCCAGCAGTTTTAGTCACGTCTCTCCCTCTCTATCACCAGTGGAGAAAAAAAATAAAATGAGACACCAGGCATCCCTTTAATAAACAACTTTTGATTTCACTCCTGACCGTGGAATCCATGGTTCTGGGGACTGTGAGAGCATCAGAAGATGCCTGCCCTTGGCATTTTAGATGCACACAGACCCACAGTCACTCAGATGGAGAGCTGTCAACCCCTAGACGTAAACCACCCCCGGGGAGTGTGTGAGGGAGAGCTGTGCCCAAGCTGGCTGGTGCTGCAGACTCTCACCCACAGGAAAGACAGGAGAAGGGCAAGAAATACTTCATCTTCCCCTCACACCCCCTGCTCCTCCGTGCTGTGTTCAAGCGCAGTCAAATACCAGTCTCCTCTCCCGTCCTCCTTTCTGCCCTCCTAGTTTTCTCTTCCCTGTAAAGTCTTAGCTGTGCGTTGCCCATTGGGTGTGCCTCTGGATCGGTCACCCCGCTCGCTGGCCACATGATGTTGGACATGCTCCTTGAACTCTTGGTGCCTTGGTTTCTTCATCTCTAAGATCTAATAATAGGACCCACCTCACTGGGGATTACATGAGGCAACGTGTGCAAAGTGTTAGCACAGTGTCTATTGTAATTGTGGTGGTTGTTCTTGTTGCCACTCAGAGTTTTTTCCGTTGGCTAGAAAACCATTATTTACGTGATTATGCATATTCTGATGATTGCTTAAGAAAGCAATGGTATGCTCTCAATCATTCCTATCTTCTCTTTCAATTCATGAATAGGGCCCATGACAGCATTGGATGGGGACAAGTAAAAATCCACTCAGAGTGAGCAAAGCTGCCTTCTAAAACCTCCAGCTCTTTCTGGCACTAACTTGCCCCCAGTGGTGTCTTTTGAGGGGCTTCTCCTAGGGAGCTTTATGCAGGGCTCTGCCCTTCCAAGCTGGCTCTCAGAGCCCAGCCAGGACCCACCGCTATTGTGCCGCGCTCACGTGGAAGCCAAAATGCTTCTCCAAGGTAGAGCGGGGAGGGCACCAGGATTTTCCTTCTCCTTGCTGGTTGACTAGCAGACAATGGTTCATCAGAAGCCACAACATTTCAGCTGTTTTGGCCACAACGGCCACAAGCTGACTGGCTGTCATTCTTTCCCAGTAGGGCGTCAGCTCAGGACAGCTCCAAACAGTATCAACCAGTTTGTGACAAGTGGCATAAACACCAGGCTGGCTGAATGAAATCACTGGCTGAGTCATCCTGTGCACAAGGGGGCTGAAGAGCTCCCGGCAAGGTGCTGGTGCATCTCCCTGCGAGGGAGCCTGTGCGGGTGGGACTCAACAGTCGTTCCTCTGCCAACAAACGCTTATTGAGTGCCGCCTGCTAGATGCCAGCACAGCGATTGTTTCTCCACATAGTGTTTGTGTCATCTAAACTGGGGGATGGTGCCCAAAGTGAATTTCAGCCCAAGTTCAGGAATTTCCCTCTACAGAAACACTTGTCAAATGAAAAAGGAAGGAAGGAAGGAAGGAAGGAAGGTAGGAAGGCAGGCTTTATTAATATTCCAAGTTTAAATAGTAATTATATTTTGGTTCAAACTTACTAATTAAATGACCATCTTAAACTGGCCAACAGGGCACAGTCAGAAAAAAATTATTCTGATTAAACTTGTCTCTCAAAGTGAAACAAAATAGATTATACCTGCTTTTTGTCACATGGGTCTTAGGAGAAAATAGGAACTTGAGAAGCCAGCCAGGCCAGAACTTGGGTAAGGCCAGTGAGGCACTTTCTTTGGGCGTAAAATTTAAGGGGGCGCCAAACACACAGTTATCACAATCGATAATATTTTAATGCAATATTGTTTTAAAAACCAAAATTGATGCACAAACCTATGATGAACAAAATATAAAAACTTTCAATACAGACAGGACCCAAGTCACTGATTTTTGCCCCAGATGCCAACACAGCAATGAAGGCAAGCCCCTGTCCCCCTCCCAGTTCACAAGGGCCCATTCCCATGTCACCATGAGGCCACAGCCTCCCCACTGTGCCTGCTCGTCCTTGGCCAGGTCAGGGAGGAATGGGAGAAGCACTTCAAGTGCTGAAGTAGCTCCCTGCCCGCCGATTCCGGGACAGAGTGACATCACAGGGGCGTAAGGGGCAGCCCTGGTCAGCCTGGGATGGCTTCAGAATGCCCACATTCCAATCCCTGCTCCACCCTTCCTAGCTCTGTCCTTGCACTGGTTTATACCTAAACTCTTTAAGCTTGATATTCTCATCTGTAAAATTGGGATGATAAGGGTGTTTGGCTCCCAGGCTTAAACGATGCCATGAGCACACAGCGGAGCTCCTGGAACCATTATGACTGTGGACAGGCCCAGGAGCCCATCGCGTCTTCCTCCCCTTTGGAGCACAGGCTGTTGGAGCAACAGTGCCTCTGTCAGAGGGAACATTCCCATCCCATTCAGCTGCGCGGAGACCAGCCTGGCTGCCCCTCCTAAGGAATGCGGGATGGAGGCCACACATGTGCCTGGAGTTGTGTGTCTTTAAGTAACCTCTACAAATAGAAATGATAATAGTAAGAGTAGCAACGATAGTGGTCAGCACTGTTACTGAGCATTTTATCAGGCGTGTTATTTAGTGCCAGGCCTGTGCTAAGGGCCTGGGGTTGATGAAAGAGTGCAGAGGAGGGAATCCAGCCCGACAAGAGGGAGGGCCGGTCGTGGGGCTGGAGTGGGCTGTGCCCTGTGGTCAGCCCTGCTGAGCAGAAATTCCAGCGTCAATGTCTGAAGCCCTGGGGGACAAGGGGACTCCCTCTGCCAGGCCCAGGTCTTCTTCCCTTCACCTCATCCGGTGGGGGCGTGTCACCTGGGCCTGGAAGCCTAGTGATGCCATGCAGGGAGCCTGGGGTGGCTGAATCAGAGCACACTTGGAGATTAAACATAAGAAGCCTTGAAAATCGGTCCCACGTCACCCTGAAGCCGAATTGGGTAAAATACAGGGGCTTTGTTTTCCAAGAAATGGCTGATCCTCTCACACTGCTGCCCTTCACACCAAAATCTTAACCCTGGGGATGTGGTTCACCAAGACAAGGAACAGACAGCCCACCTTCCATGTTGTCGTTTTGTTGTCTGAAAGTCTTTGGAATGCGGTAAATGTTACACATGTCAGATTTTTTAAATCAATCTATTCATTTGAAAAATGCTTGCTGGGGCTTTTAAAGAGAACTGCCTGGTTCAAGTACACGCAGGAATCATTGATAACCCTCAGGAGCCTCTCCAACTGGAATGATCCTCCTGCAAAGAAAAAACTCTAAATGTTAAGTCCATTTTTAAATTAAAAAAACAAAACAAAACAGAATTTGAAAAGAGCCCCCTGATGAGAATTTGTTAATTATACTTGGCCATTTTAGATCAAATGATCTTCCCTAATTCACAGCAGCTAAAAGTGTTAAAAGCCTTTGAAACAAGATTCACAGATGGTGGGTCCTAGTCCTGCCGCCCACACCAGCATCACAAAAACGCCCAACAGATCAGGGATGCCAGCATGATTGTTTTACTATTTGTATCTTGGGACTGTCACTGAGGGACATAGAGAGGGAGACCTTGGAACTGGCTTCTGCGGAAAAATATTTTTTTTTTTTTGGTGAGGAAGATTAGCCCTGAGTTAACATCTATTGCCAATCCTCCTCTTTTTGCTGAGGAAGATTGGCCCTGGGCTAACATCCATGTCCATCTTCCTCTACTTTATATGTGGGATGCCGACACAGCATGGCTTGATGAGTGGTGCGTTGGTCCGTGCCAGGAATCCAAACCCGAGAACCCCAGGCTGCCAAAGCCAAGCCCACGAACTTAACCACTATGCCACCAGGTCACCCCTATGGAAAAATTTTTTTAAGAGAGATCTTCATTACTTTTTGAAATAACACAAGGATTAGATGTACTCATTGTAGATAAATTAGACCATTTCAAAAAGAATACAGAAGAAAAATAGAAATTGTCTATAATCTCACCACTCCAAGAAAGCCACTGTTAGCAATAACCTGATATATATCATCATAGATTTTCTTCTCTGCATAATACCATACATATATAGTTGAATATAAGACACAGATCAGAATTAAACTATACAGACGGTCTCGTAACCTGCTTTATTCATTTAACAATAGATTGTGGACAGCTTTCTATGCCGATAAATACATCCCTATATCACCATTTTAACCTGGAGTCCACTGTATGCTATTCTGATTTATTGAAGTAACTATAAATGAGCATTTCATTGTCCCATCAATTTCCACTACTCTAAATCACACAGTAATGAACATCGTTGCCTATATATCTATATGCCCTCTATCAGTTTATCCTAGAATACATTTCTAGAGGTGGAATCACCACACTGATAAGGCTTTGATTGTGTGTCGGCAAGTAGGGCCCTCTAGGAAGATAGGACCAATTTACACTCTCACCCATAGATCCTGAGAAAGTGTGTCCTCATAGCCTCAACAGTACTGGGTATTTTTTTTAAATATATGTTAGTGTGTCTATTTATTATTTTATATTTTTTATGATTATAGAAACAATATTAGTTCATTATAAAATTTCAAATGTTATCAATGTATACAAAATAAAAAGTAAAACTTCCTCCCTAAAGCCTCCTGTTATAGCCCCACACCCTCAGATAACCTGATTGTATTTTTCCCAAATTTTCTTTTGAATGCCTATACAGAAAAAAATATTTTTGCTTTCTTACAAAAATGGTACATCTTTCAGATTGTTTTGCAACCGGCTTTTTTCTTCCTGTGTTTCTGTATATACTGCGGCTTTCTTTCCATGTCAGTTATAAAATAGGTCTTGTTTTTAGTGGTTGCTGAACATTCCACGGAATGGACATGCTATTATTCACTGCCCCAGTCCTTCATGGATGAACATTTAGTTGTTTTTAATATTGGAATGAATACCCTTGCTCATATATCTTTGCATGTGTACAGGATTCTCCTAAGATTATTCCTAGAAAAACACTTGTGCCAAAATGTTTGCACATTTAAAATGCCAGTAGCAGTTGTCAAATTACTCTCCAAAGTGAACAGTCCTGCCAACAACACATGAAAGAGCCTGTTTCTGAGAGAGTATTTAAACAGGGGCTAGTCATTCACTTGGCAGGCATATATTGTAGATATATTTTCTAGAAAGAAAGGAGAACCAGTCTGGTAGGGCTGTGAGAATCCTTTAGACATCTTGACTCACACGAGGGATCTCAGCTGTCCTGTCTCCGCACCCCCCACCCCCGCCACCTTAGTCCATGCGTGCACATATTTTCAAGGTCATGTTTGATATCTTCAGCAATATTTATGATTTGTTCATAAGATAGGATCTGTACTAAATTACCCACTCCCTTCCTGAACTAACCAATCCAAGAATGACAGATGCATAACTCACTTTTATACAACTTTGGGATTTCTGATTTTCCACAGCTATAAGAGAGGAACACATCTGTCCTGCACAACCCACCACTGGGAGATGGTTTGAAGACCATGGTTCGCCATTCTTGCAATGCAGTAAGCCTGCATTGTCTAATATGGCAGCCACTAGACACATGGAGCTATTAAGCGTTTGAAATGTGGCTAGCTCAGGTTGAGATGTGCTGTAAGTATAAAATTCACACTGGGTTTTGAAGACTTAGTATGAAGAAAAGAATGTAAACTATCTATTTAATGATTTTTATATTGATTACATGCTGAAATGATAATATCCCAGATATATTGGTTAAATAAAATATATCATTAAAATTAATCTTACCTGTTTCATTTAATTTTTAATGCAGCTATTAGAAAATTTTAAATTACATGTATCTATGTGTGTAGAAGAGAAAGTGAAAAATGTATAAGATTAAATTTGGGTATCTGAAAATATAAACAGTATAAAGTTAGGTCTGGACATTAAAAGACAAAGTTTAAGGCCAGCCCTGGGGGCCTAGTGGTTAAGTTCAGTGCCCTCTGCTTTGGTGGCCTGGATTTCATTCCTGGGCACAGACCTACACCACTCGTCTGTCAGTGGCCATGCTGTGGTGGCGGCTCACATACAAAAAGGGGAAGATTGGCAGTGGATGTTAGCTCAGGGCGAATCTTCTTCAGCCAAAAAAAAAAAAAAAAGACAATTTTTAGTCTGAATGCAAAGGAGACACTTGGAAAGTAAAATGAATGAGTACCAGTGACATGCTTTTGAGTTTTTCCTCTGTTTTGCCAGCCCTACATCTCTTCCTTCAAAATGTAAATAAATTACATAAACATATGTGGCTTGAATTATATTTCTATTGGATGGCACTCCTCTCAGCTGTCTACACCTGCAGAAATACACCCAGACTTTGTGTGTGGTCTCTCTCTCTCTCTCTCCCCCCTTCCCTCCTTCAACTCAGTTCAGTAACCTAGTTTTCAGAAATCACTGATTATTTTCCTGGGATAGTTGACCTCTGTCACTTTGCTGTCTGCTGTATGAACCATTGGTGTGCTCATAATCTGTCTCTCTGAAGGAAAAACAAAGCCCTGATTTGTAGCGTTTGCTCATTTCCATGAAGTAAATACTCCCACCATGGCCAATGCCAAGCTACCAATGTGAGGTCCCTGAACCTGGAGCCGGGAAGAGACGCACACAAGCATTCCGGCGAGCCGTTGCAGCCAGCCCCAGCTTACCGCTCATTATGAATCCTCTTCTATTTGGGCTGAATCCCCAGCCACATGGAAGGCAGGGCTCCCAATGCCACTTGGGAAGCCACAGTTTGCATATATGCCCTCTCCCCAGTCCTGGGCACTCAGAGCTTGGGCTGGTAGTCTAAGCGAGGCCAATCAGATCCCCTGCCAAGGATGCTGAATCTGGGGGTTGAGATAGACAGGCAGGGGCTTGTTAGGGAGCGTCTGTGGTGTGGAGGCTGGAGCCATAGAGACTGTCTGGGCCAGAGTCCAGTGGAGGAATCCAGCTGGGGCAGCAGCAAGTGTCCAGTGGCAGTGGAGACAGTGGTGGCAACCAAAGTAGATTATTCCTGTGGCAGGATCTTGCTTGTTAAGTTACCCCTGAACCCAGTTCCTCAGTCTCCTCATTAATTCAATGAGCTAACCAGTCTCCCTCCATTCATCCCTTATCTGCTGGGTTAGCCAGAGTCAAGAGCACAGACTAGCTGTTTGCCTGTAACAATCAGGTGAGGTGATATAACAGGTAACGTGGTGAAATACAGGGCAGATATGGGACAGGGTACCTCCAGGTAAGAGAGTGGTTCTGAAAGAAGGGCGCTCATCTGAATCATCAATGGACCTTTACAAACAGGCACATGCAGAATTGAAAGCAGGCACTCAAACAGATGTTTGTACACCCAGGCCCATAGCAGCACTGTTCACAACAGCCAAAGGGTGGAAGCAAACCAAATGTCCATCCATGGATGAATGGATAAACAAAATGTGGTATATACATACAATGGAATGTTATTAGCATTAAAAAGGAAAGAAATTCTGACACGTACAACAACATGGATGAATCTTGAAAACATACGCAAGGTGAAAGCAACAAGATATGATACTGTGTAATTCTACTCATATGAGGTTCCTAGAGTAGTCAAATTCATAGAGACAGAAAGTAGAACGGTGGTTACTAGCGGCTGTGGGGAGGGTGAATGGGGAGTTAGTGTCTAATGGCTACAGAATTTCAGTTTGGGAAGATGAAAGGGTCTGTAGATGAATGGTGGTGATAGCTGCACAACAATGTGAACATTCTTAAAACCACTGAACTGTACACTTAAAGACTGTTAGAATAGTAAATTTTATGTTATGGGTATTTTACCACAATAAAAAAATAATTAGAA